AAACCCTAAAACCCTAAAACCCTAAAACCCTAATAATAATATTTTTTAATAAAATATTCTTTTCTTAATATATTTATTTCTTGATAATTATATAGAGGATATTCTTAGCGCTTTTATAATTTAAATTCTTAATAAAAGTATTAATAATTATTAATATTAATAAATCATGTTTTTTTAATAATAATATATAGCTGATTTCTAATATTTTTTTTATATATTTTTTAAAAGTATATTATCTCTGTCTTAATATTATAATTTATTTTATAATATTTCTAACTAATTTCTACTTCTTTGGCAGAGGAAACCATGTTTTAAAATATTATAATAATCTTTATTAATTTTTCTATATTTTTATTTCTAATATATTAATATATCTGAAAATCTTATTTTAAAATTTTATTATTAAAATAATAGTAATTATTTTTAACTGGTTCTTATTTAACAGTCTTGCTAATAATTATATTAATTTATATTAATTAATATATAGATTAATATTCTCGCCGGCCCTGTTAATAAAAGTAGATTAAGTAAATATTATTCTGTTTCTAGTTTATAAGATATTATTAATTTTTATTAACAGAAGAAGAGAATATAAATATAAATAAAAAAATTTTATTTTTATATAAAATATTATATTTATTTTTATATTTCTGCCGGGAGTGGTTTTTATTTAATTAAATATTAAAGCTAAGTTATTCTCTGGATTTGTAGTAAATATTAATCTGTTAAATACCTGATAAAGATTTTTAAACAGGTTAGTATAATTCTTTTAATTTATATATCTAAATATCTTTAATATTTAAAGACTTAATATTTAACTTTGATTACAGCTAGTACAGCTTTTTTTTATATGTTGCTAACTATTAGATTCTTAGGGGTTTTCACGTAGCCCCAGACTGGTCACCAAATGTTTGATTATTTGAATGAAATGATGAAACTGATTGCATTTAATGATTGTATTAAACTGATTTATTTAACTAGGATCATGGAGGGGGGGAACCAGCGGGAATCCCTATTTCTTGCCACTGCCATCCTTGAACGGCAGGTGCCTATTGCTTTCCTTACCGGGAAGGAGCCCAACAGTATGTATAAAGGACCATACGAGCAATACTCACAGTGACCAGTTAGCACCGCGTAAGACCAATACTGAAGCGACAATATGATTGGTGTAAGAAAACTTCACATCAACAGCCAGGATCATAGTTAAATATAGACCTGATGGTTATTCGAGTCGTGACCTGTGAACAGCGTGGTCCCTAAAATCCGAAGCCATTAGGCCCTGAACTTAGCCTGAATCTATAGGCGAGATAGCTTTGGATCACTTCGGGACACTCCATCACGCAGGCAGAAGAACTCATGTAATGCATAGGATAAGGTCGTTGCCTGGTCCATCAACAAGGGCGACAGCGAAAAAGATGAGTTGATTTGTGACAAGTGAAGGACCGGGTTCCATTTCGTAACTAACTACCTAAGGACTAGATTATGTAATGACTGATTAATAGACTGCAGAGACCTAGCTTCACCTTTTCCTGCACCTTTGCCAGTACTTGGGTCATTCAGCTATCTTCACCCATACACCTTGGTTTACGAAGCAGGTAATATTGAGCTTCTCGGTCCACACCTGCGGTGGATCCGGCCCTTTAAATGACGAGTAATGCTGCATAAAGCGAACAAGGACGTATCCCCCCCCGACGAGCGCAAGCTGCTGGCCTTGGCGTCATAATCTGGTCAGTCCATGTGTTTCCTATACACTGAGCGTTATAGAAGATGTATGTACTCACCGAGACAGATCCGAGGACCGCCACTAAACGGAATATAATTCCACGTGGGCCTCTCCTTCTCCCAACGCTCGGGCTTGAACTCGAGGGCATCGTCGCCCCACAGATCGTGTCGTCGATGAAGGGAGAAGGAGGAGAAAGAACACTCGCGGCCTTTCGGGATGAAGACAGGTGATCGACCGTCTGGACCGCCACCCACAGGAAGAACCGTGTCCTTGTTAGCGACGCGCAGGTTCTGCGGCACGGGTGGGTACATCCGGAGTGTCTCCTTGATGACCCAGTTGAGGTACTTCATGTTCTTGACGTCTTCGTACCCGGGCAAGCGTTCGCCGAGCGTCTCGGAGATCTCGGCCCGCAACCGTTCCTGCACGTGAGGGTATTTGGCGACGATGAAGAAGAGGGTGCTAATGAGGGAAGCTTCTGAGCCCACCGCGGCCAAGACTGGAGTTTTCAACGATTAGCATCGTCTCAGGCAGACCCCTGGACAAACGCATCCTCCTGGTTGCATCAAAAAAAACGTACGCAAGTTTAGAACATGATCACGGATCTGCTCAGCAGGTATGCCTTCGTTTGCCAACGCCCGAGGAACCGTGTACTTCGCACTGTCAACCTCACTGTCCTTGCCTTCCTTATGGCTCGCAATGGCCTCGTGCACGATGGGGTCGACATGCTCATGAAGAACACGACGCGCGTCCTGGAGCTTCATATCATGCACAAGGAACGACAACTTTCCCGCACGCAGGCGCTCCGAAATCATCGTGTTGGCCCGATCAAGCGCCCACAAGAAGCGGCGGCCCACGGCCGCACCATGAGCACGTAGCACGTCGAGTGGACGCCCAGACAGCAGCTCGGTGCCCACGTCGAGCGTGAAGCGCTGCGTCCACTCCTGCAGCTCGGCAGCCGAGCCAGCAGGCACCTGATCCTTCATGGATTCGAACCAGATCTGCAAGTGCTTTTCCCAAACCGCCGTGTCGCCGAAATAGGATCGCGCGAGCTGCGGCCGCGCCACTGTCCGCGCGTGAACCCAGTCTTGCCCGTCGGCGCTAAAAATCCCGACGCCAACGAATTCAAAGGTCGCCCAGCGACGCCGAGGACCCATGTCCCTGAAGTCGAGAGAGTCTCATGGTCAACAAAGCTCGATTAACTATTACATGCGGAGGAGAGTTGGATTTCTGACGCACCAGTCTTTAAATTTGGTTGCTAGGATGGCCTGGATGTTCTCCGGATCGCACGTGATGTGCATCAGATTGCCCAGGAGGCCGACCTCAAACGTGGTGCCGAAACACTTGAACATGTTGTCAAAGTACTCCAGGTTGCGACGGTTACGCATGGCCTTGTGGAGCCCGGTCGCATGTCGAAGCCCAAAGAGCGGGTCCCAAGGACTGGCATGGGGAGCCGGCTGGCAGCCACCCGCGTGTCGCCGTCGATACAGGTTAACCTGGACATAGACCAAGTAGGCCATAGTCCAGGCGATGGCAACCACGGGCAGTAGGGTCAAGGTCAAGTGCATGGCGATGGCTGACGAGTCTTGCCCTCTCCGTAATGATTAGACGTTGGATGTGCACCAGTAACTTGAACCAATTCTAAAAGAAGAATCCAAGGTGTGTCAGTCATCGACTGCTAGAATCAGACTTTCAGTAATAGCATGGCACAGGAGCCAGCCTCCTTCGGCTCGGCGGCCACTTTCTGAACCAACCATTATGCAGTCAGCTCGGTAATCCGAGATGGCCACGGTTGGTCCCAAGTCGGTCGCAAGTCGGTCGCAAGTCCGAGTCGGGAACATCATCAGGCGGCTTGAAACGGCCACCGACTTCATGGCCGAGGTTTCCTGCTGCATATCGATGGCGACGGATGAGCCCGATAACGCAGCATACTTGTCTCGATCGTTGATGAGTTGGCTGTTGGCTTACATTATTTACCAAATTTAATCTTCTAACTCCTGGCAGTAGCATGCAACGTTGATACGTTAGAATTTTGTCCCTGCACATCATACAATCACCATGTCCTTGCCGTCGCAAAGCTCTGTTCTTGTGGTGGGCGCCGGACCGGCCGGGTCCTTCGCCGCCTGCATGCTCGCACGTGAGGGCGTCGACGTCGTGCTTGTCGATGCCGAAAAGTTCCCCAGGTACCTCTTATCATTACGTGCTTTAAAAACCCCGACATGAGCAAAATTAATTTTTGGAATTGCAAAGATATCACGTTGGGGAGAGCATGCTCGCAGCGATGCGGTTCCTCTTGCGGCTCATTGATGTCGACACAGAATTCGACCGGCACGGCTTTGAAAAGAAGTACGGGGCCACATTCAAGATCACGGAAAAGAGGGAAGCATGTTAGTTGCCCCCGGCTTCGGCTGGTCTTGTTCCGGGACAGTAAAAAATGACTTACCAAGGGAAACCACAAACCCACAGTCACCGACTTTACAAAAGCGCTCGGCCCAGGCGGCCACTCGTGGAACGTAGTCCGCTCCGAGTCGGACGATCTCTTATTCCGCCACGCCGCCCGCAGCGGAGCCAAGACGTTTGACGGCACCAAGGTAGACGTAATACACTTTGAGCCATACCCGCATGACGGTTTCGACGAACCCCCGCACCTGGCCAATCCAGGCCGGCCTGTATCGGCCGACTGGTCGTGTAAAGACGGGACTAGAGGCAACATCAAGTTTGACTACCTCATCGACGCCAGCGGGCGCAACGGGATCGTGTCCACAAAGTACCTCAAGAACCGCCGCTTCAACGAGGGCCTCAAGAATATAGCCAACTGGACGTACTGGAAAGGGGCCAAGCGCTTCAATGTTGGCCAGCCCAACGAGAACTCGCCCTTCTTTGAGACGCTCGATGACGCGAGCGGCTGGGTCTGGGCCATCCCCCTGCACAACAGCACCTTGTCGGTCGGCATCGTGGCGCGCCAGGACCTCTTCGTGGCCAAGAAAAAGCAACTCGGGCTAAACCCCCAAGAATTCTACTGCGAGTATCTCAAGCTGGCGCCGCAAATCAGCGCCATGCTGTCGGACGCCGAAATAGTGTCGGACATGAAGCAGGCGTCAGACTGGTCGTACAGCGCATCGGCCTACGCCGGCCCGTACTTCCGCATCATCGGCGATGCCGCCGCCTTTGTCGACCCCTATTTCTCCTCGGGCGTGCACCTGGCCTTGACCAACGGTCTCGCGGCCGCCGTGTCGGTGCAGGCGTCGCGCCGCGGCCAGGCCGACGAGCGCGCCGCGGCCAAGTGGCACGGCACAAAGGTCGCCGAGAACTACACCCGGCTGCTCCTCATCGTCATGGCGGTGCAGCGCCAGCTGCGCCTCAAGCACGAACAGCTCATCACCACCGACGCAGAGGACGGCTTTGACGCCGCTTTCAAGGCTATCCAGCCCGTCATTCAGGGGGTCGCCGACACACACCTATCGGACGAGCAGGTGCAGCAGCGAGCGGTGGAATCGGTTGACTTTGCACTCAACTCGTTTGATGTCACGCCGGAGCAGGAGAGGGCCATGGTGAACAAGGTCAGCCATGCTGCGCAGGCGGCGCCCGAGACGCTCCAGAACATGACCCCCGAGGAGGTCGACATTCTGAAGCGCATGAGCCATCGCGTCTTGCATCGGAACACGACCCAGGAAAATAGGGGCCTGGCGGCTTTTACAGGTCATGTTATTGATGGGCTGGCGGCGAATGTAGAGCGTGGCGATGTAGGCCTAATAAAAGTACAAGCCTAGGAACCTTGAAAACATATCCCACCGCGTGGTGAGCCACACGCGGCCATGAAAGGACTCATGTAATAACAACAACTAGGCCATACTACTCGCGGGCCATGCAATATATATAACCTTAGGGGCAGCGGGCTATGAGGAATAAATATTCTAATATATTTTTATGTAAATAATTAAACAGATACTGAATAAAGAATTATTACAGGTATAGAGTGGTTATACCTGACTGTTATACCTTGACCTAATCTTAACCATAACCTGACAGTTAAATTAAGGTATAAGACTCCTCTTAACTGTAATATTAAGAATAGATTACAGTAGAGTGATTATTCCTGACTGTTATACCTTAATCTAACCTTGACCATAAGCTAAGAATTAGACTTAGATATAAGAATCCTCTTAGCTATATAATTAAGAATAAATTACAGTTAAGAAATTATTTTGACTAATCTTAACTATAGATTAGAAAAGTCAGATATACTTAAAAGATTAATAACTATAGATTGATTAGTATACAGTTTTTTTACAGGAATGATATGTCAAATCCTAGGATCGCTTCCCTGTCCTGGTTAGCTTAGCTTCACTGGTATACATACTGTCAACTGGATCGAGGGGGTATCAGGCTGATGACTATCTAAGAATAATTAGACTTAGGTGAGAGAAGAGAAGTAAGGCAGAATAATACTATGCAGTTATATACAGTGAGTGCAGATAAGTATTGTTACTAAGTTTCCAAATATATAATTCTTTAAAGATAGTAGTGTCATAGAACAACCTAGGGGTGTTGTCCACACAAGGCCAAAAAGACCATCATTACCCGCAGCTACCTGCGGACCCCTAGAACCCTGCTTACATAGACATGTACACACGGGAGCAGGTGGTGTTTCACCACTTAGGCCATCCCTCAGGATAGTAACCTATCACAAGTGGTATTAACGTAATAGAATAACCTTGTCTACACCCCTCAGGTCTGTTAGTATGATGTACCCACACACATGGCAGAGTCGTGAGATCATCAATAATAATCCCATGTCTGCCCGGATACTATAAGATAGCAATTTACTGTACTGTACTACTGATCTTATAAAGATCAGTCTATCTCATGGATATAGACTATCTTATTATTACTAGATAAATCTAAGATATTTAATAACTAATTTCTTACTTGGTCAACAGACTTTCTACTCTGATAAGTAGATTCTATTATATTCTGATTCTTGTCCATTAGATTATCTTAAAAATATACTATTCTTTGAGAATAATAAAAATTTAAAAATAATCAGTAAGGAAATTTATACTGAACTATTCTTAAATATTATTTCTATTATTAAAAAATCTAATAACTTGAAGACTATCCAACAGCTAAAATAAGCTAATATTTTCTTATAAAAAATACCTTATTTTTAGAAATATTATTCTTTTAATAAAATCGTATTAAAATACTATTAATCATCCTCCGAAATTATCTCTGATAAAGACAAGAGTGAAATTAAATTGAAAAATACTTTTTATTTTATATTAAATTTTAATCTCTAGAATTATAAAGAATAAATTATAAATTTAGAATATGTATTTCAGATAACTCCCAAGAAATATTTTAAAGAATAAAAAATATTTGTTATTATTAGTTATATAGATCTAGTATACAGATAGTAGTAATACTAATTTAGCAGTAATATGACTTTAGAAAAGATATATTATTTTAAAATAACCTAGTCTTAATGTTAAAATATCATAATCTCTAAATTCAATATAATAATTTAATTAAAGTAAGCATATCAATAATACAGCTAAGATCTGAGAAAGTTTTATATTTATCTTAATATTATAAAATAATATTTTTTCTGTCAAGCTGAAAAGAAAAAAATATTTATATATCTTATTAAATTATTTTTTAATCTTAAGTATTATACTTCAAGATATATTCTATATCTGTGTAAAAAATAGGATAAGATAGTAGCTATTACTATCTATTATTATAACCATAGAATAATAACAAGAAATATAAACAAAATAATATCTATTCAGAAGAGCATAATCTAAGAAAGTATTTATCTAATTATTAATTTATTAAGAATAATTTTCTGATTTAAAAAAAATTCTATCAGAAAAAACAATAATAAGTTATAGTATTTTATATATAAAAATATCTATCATTTTATAAATTATTATTCTACTCTTTCTAATTTTTATATCATATATGGTTCACTGGTTATGTTAAAGAAATAAATAATACTAGAATCTTATAAGATTATCCAGTTCTGTCGAATCCCAAGACTTTATTTAACTATAAAATATTATCAAATTATCAGATTCTATTAAATAATAAATCAGGATATTATTCCGGTCTTATTATTCTATTAAAGAATTATTAGTAGTCTACTTTATGAATATTAATTTAAAATCTTTTATTTAATTTTAATTATTTAAGTATAAATGATAATTATCCAGATGCTTGTATTATAATCTCTATTAGAATAATAGATATTTAAATACCAACTATTATATAATATTTATAGTAAAATCTATAACAGAATAATTTTCTATTAAATTTATTTTTATATAAAAACAGATTTCTAATTATAAATAAAAAGACTTAATATCAGCTCAGATCTATTATCTAGAATAGATAATAATTTGAGTTATTACTAATACGCTGGCTTATACACAGTAATAATGATAATTAGACCTGATATTAAACTTGATTTCTATATATAACTAGAAAATATATATAATATATCTTTTAATATCTGTTATATATTACTTTACTAGTTTTACTAATCTTAGTAATATCTAGTATTCTATTCTTATTATCTATATTAATATTATTTTTATAAATTATATTAAGTTAATAATCATTAAGATAATAGTTATTCTAACCAATACAGTTAGTGTGATAAAAAACCTAGCTATGAGGGCAAAAGCCATCAGGATGACATACTAAAGTAGTTATAAAAGATATAAGATTATTAATAAAGGTTCTATACTTTCCTAATATTTATAGATATTAATTTTTTTATAATAAATTATTGATTTCTTAAGAATCAGTCTATCTTATAAATATAGATTATCTTTATTATTATCAGATAAATATATAATATTTAGTAATCGATTTCTTATCTAGTTAACAGGTCTTTTATTTTAATAAATAGATTTTATTATATTTAAATTTTTTTAATTATCTAAGAAAAATACCATCTACTAAGAATAATAAAAAAATAAAGGTTTTTAATAATAAAATTAATCCAGAATTATTTTTGAATACTGTTTCTATTATTAAGGAGATCCAGCAGCTAGAGAATTATATTTATTAATTAAAATAAATTATTAATTTATAACAGTAAATAATTTATTTTTGGAAAAATGTTTTTTAAATAAAATAATATTAAAGTACTATCAATCTTTCTCTAAATTAGAAAAAAGTAAGAATGAAAATTAAAATTAAGAATATTTTCTATTTTATTCTGAATTTTGATCTCTAATAGTATCAGGAATAGATTACTAACTTAAAATATATATTTTAAGAAATATTTAAAGAAATATTTAATAAAAAAAATATAAGATTTTTATTATTATTAGCTATATAAATCTAATATACAGACAGAGATAATACTGTTTCATTAATAATAAAAATTTTAAGAAAAAGTAATTTCTTAAGTAATTATAATTTTAATTTAAAAACTAGATTCTTATATTGATTCAGAAAATTATTACTTTTAATTTAATATTATAATCTATTTCAAACAGGCTTACTAGTGATATAGCCAGAATCTAAGAAAGTTTTATTTTTATTTTAATATCTTAAAATAATATTTTTCTTATTAAATAAAAAAGAAAAGAATTTTATTATATTTTAATTAAATTATTATTAAATCTAAATTATTATATTTAAAAGCATATTCCACACTTATATAAAAGTGAAATAAAATAATAATTATTATTATTTATTATTATAAATTATGGGAAGATAGAGAATTATCCTGATTTAGTTACTCATATTTTCTATCTTAAACTAGTAATTTTGGTTAAAAAGATTACAGGAACTGATAATATTTTTAATCTTTATATTATTAATATTTATATTTTTAAATATTAGAAATATAATATATTATATTTTTATATTTTCCTTTATTTAGACAAGGGTCATGACTTCAATAATATTAGTTTATTCATGAAATTATTTTAACAGAGTTTCCTGATCCTGATAATAATAATATTAATTATAAAATATATAATAATTTATATATTATATAAAGACTTACATCTATCTGCTTTCTATATAAAAATCTATAATAATAAGTTTATTTATATAAAAAGATTTCTATAATCTCTTTTATCAGAAATTATTTTTACAGCTGACAGTTATCCTATATATAAATATTATAATAATTATTATTCTATATAAAAGAAAAAAGTCTCTTCTTAAAAAAAATAAATAAATAATACTATATAATTTATATCTTGTCAGGAAGTATAAAATATATATTAATACAGAAGTATACAGAAGTATATAGTATATATCTTAATTAAGATTTTTAAATATATATATAAAAATATATATAAAAATTCTGATTATATAACTACTGAATTTAAAATTAATAAGATTTATTAATATTTTAATAATTAATTTATTAGCTTTTCAGAGATTATATAATCTATATTAGAAAGGTAATACTCTACTGTGATTATTATAATTTCTACAAGTACTAATAATAACTGGCTAGTTACTCATTACACTGGGTATCTGTGTTGTCAAGTTTTATATAAGCAGCGCCGGAGGCGCTGCCGTACTACTTGTCTTGAAGTATTGATTATAGAACTTTAAAATAATAATGAACAGAGTCTATCTGATCTTTCTAAATAATATTAATTACTAAATAAAATCTGCTTTCTTGTTCCACCGAAGCTTATCATAATCTGATATTTTTAGTGGTGTAATGGCTGTTTAAATAGAGTGATTTTCGGAGGCGTGTATAAGGTTCGATGGGGTGGCGACTCACATGGCCGACTCGCTTGCCGCTTATGTTAGCAGCTCTGGACCCGCGAGTCTTAGCAGGATCGAACTCGGCCCGGCCCCGGGCAAGCCCGGGCGATCCCTGCCATGTCTATTTGGAGTCACTAACTACATGGAGATGGTTAGTAAAACCTCTGCCCAAGGGGATTCTCTCGCTCTCCAGGTGCCAACTGCTCCCAAAAAAGGAAGGGATATAATAAACTGTGATTATTGCTTGTCTCCGGACTTCTTTCTAATCTCTGAGATTCTTTGTACACTCCAATCGACAATTGAGCTTTTCGGTGCTCATGTGGTACACGTAGTTTGATTCAAACTCCTATCTTCTAATCCAGAAATCCTAGCTTTCTCGGTAAAAAGGTTACCCCGACGTTTGCTTCGGCCTACCATTGATCTGGGGTCGGAAGACAGCCTTCCGATGAGGCAGGCCTGTGTGATTGCTGCCTACCAGAATAACAAAGATAACAGACTCTCTGATTAGGATGGAGTAAAATCTGCTGCAAGGTGACTGTGCCACATAAACTCTGGAACAGCGCATCGTGAGATTTCATTGGAAACAGTGAAATGACACAATCAGGGATTGAGTCAGATATGACGTGACAAGAAGAGGGGTAACCAACCCCCCTTTATTCACACTTACTATGGTCTCCTGTATGGCAAGGCATAGTAAGACACCATCAATGCAGCCCTGATAAGCAACCAACAGTGGATTCATAGATATTCTACACAGATATCCTGCTCAGCTTACCCTATTGAACACGCTCATCAAATTCTGTAATTGTTACATTGCCTCTTCTACTGATCCTAAAACCCTCATAATGAATTATTATCTATTAGAATAGAAAATAACCCTTTTCACGATAATATTAATAAATCCTAAGAAGCAGTGTAAACCTATAAAAATATCTAATTCTAAAAATTTAAAATACTTATAGTACCAATAAAGATTGAACTTTGAACATTTGACTATGTTTCTTACATATTCAATTTATTTAACAAATCAGTTGGTAAAATACCGGGGTTTTATGGCCGCGCATGCCGTCTGATGCCTGTCGCTTCCCAGCATATGGTATGCATTATCCTGTATTGGTACATGCGGCTGGCGACTGCTGTTCAATGGCCAGAGCCATTCAGGATCAGGATCCATGATCGCTTTAATTTATCGTGCATTAGGGTGGGGCCATGATAGTTGGCTGACAGCCAATACGGTCGAGGATTGTCACACAAGGCTGTAACATGACTTACAATATATACTAGGCATCGTTTGAACATCCAGACTTCCAAATTACAACCATCACTGATGTACCTCAGCTGAGAAGCACAACATGAGCCAAGACAACAGCCTAGACGTCCAAGACCAACTGCCGGCTTGCTACAGATGCCATGCCTCCAAGGTCCGCTGTCGGAGAACGCCAGGCCAGGTGCGGTGCCAGCGTTGCACCCGCGCAGCATACTCTGACTGCTATCCGCGGCCCTCTCGCCGCGGACGCATCAGCCAGCAGCAGACGCGAGGGTTGAGCGGGATATTAATGACACAAAAAGGGGTTGAAGAGGGCAGCCTGCCCGCAGTGTCCAGCAACATGCCTGCTGAACCAGGCGACGAGCTGCATGAGCAAAGGCATGACAGTGACGCGGCCGATCCACTGCTGGACCTTTTTGTGGGACCCGTGGCCCCTGGTGGGGATGGCCTTTCCGATTTGCTATGGACCCCACTTGTCAGCGACTTTGATCCGGACTCGGTACACAGGCCTCTAGCTCTCACTACTACCACTCCAAGCCAGCCGAGCGCGTCTAGCAATAATACGGGCATTAGTCTCTCGGAACCGCTTCCAGACAGCGTCACAGCCTCATCAGCATCTAGCAGCCGATATAAGGCGGGCGATGCAGGTAGGGTGATGGGGGGTAGCGAGAGATGGGAATCACGTAATGATTCCGGTCTGGACAATTCCAGACTATCCTCGGCCTCGTACATGCAGGCCCTCACGGACCTCAACGCACAGATGCTCTCACAGCAAGACAGCATGTTGGAATGCATCCGCCAGTTCCTTGCGGCGCCAATAAGACACTCGCACAACCGCCCATCCTCCGCCCCCGGCGAGCGCAGCAGGAGGAACAGCCCCAGAAGCGACACAGTGATCGCCCCCATCTCGGAAGGTCCCGTCGAAGCCGCCCTGCGTCTCGGGCTCGCCCTCCGCTCCCTCCTCCGCCCCCACCAGGTTTGCGAGCGCGATATGCCTACCGCCCTCTTCCTCCTCAGCACGGTCCTCCGTCTGGCCTCACTGCTCCACGACCTCTTGGCCCGGCTGCAGGGTATGCTCGCCCAGGAAACCGACAAGAACGCGTTGTGCGCGTTTATCTTCCCACCTGTCCGGCTGGGGTCATTACTGCTTGATGAGCGGTTCGACGACCATCTTCGGCCGCTGCAGGTGCACTCCATTGCCATGGCGCTGAGCACGGCAGAGGGGTTGATCGACGAGGTGATTCAGCTCACGGAAAAATCACTGCCTGATCACATCAGCGATGCGTCCGGGGCGATGGATGATGGGGAAGGGGATACGAAGGATGACTTTGGACTGCAGGCCTTGACGCGGGCGCTGGTGGCGAAGCAGGAGGCGGTGGTGGAGAGTATTTCGGGACTGAGGGACATCCTGTCTTGCTCATGAAATTCACCTTGACCAAAAACCACCTGTTTTTTTCAAGCAGAAGAAGACCGAGTTCTCTACAGATGACTACCCGGAGGGCTGCGTTTAGGTAGGCAGTTCTAGATTTGTGCGTGACTCTGCAATAGTGACTAGTTTAACTACGCTTCGTCCTGTCCCTCTACATCCTTCAGCCTTATCCAGCTCTGCTTCTTTATACGTTCCTCCTCCCTCACCTAGCCCTGGTATGGTAACTGGAAAGAAGCACTTAATCTGATATGTAGTGTAATATTAGATATGCGATAAGAAAATAAGAGAGGATCCATGAAAGTGAAGCCTAAGCATAAGGTGGAGGGCACTAGTTCTAATCAGGACGTAATACCTGGTTCGTCTCATGATCCTGATTGAGTGAAAACTCTTGCATTGGTAGCTGCAGCAAAAGGTTTACGGCCGCAAGACCTGCAAGCGCGCCGAACAGGGCCCGGAATCCCGTGACAAGCGCGCTCCTTAAGGTGTAGACCAGCGCCGGGCTCAGTGCCGCCCGAGTCGCCTCACTGTTGAGCAGCTCGACTATCTCGATGGCGCTGAGCCCTAGATACGCCGAGGGCACGTGGTGATCAGATTGGCGCAGCTGCGTCCGCAGCACGTTGTCGAGGATGGGGTTGCCTATGGCCACACCGACGGTCTTGCCACAGGAGCGAAAGAAGAGCACCAGCGTGGTCGACATGGCCACGTGGGCCTGCGGCACCGACGCCTGCAGGGCAAGATTGATGGCAGGTAGGAGCATGCCTGTCCCGACGGCCGAGGCGAGGTTGATAAAGACCCAGCCGGCGACGGGGGTGTCGACGTCTTGCACTATCAGCACACACAGGCCGATGACCGCGACAGCCCAGCCGTACCGTAGGGCCCAGCGGTACCGCCCTGTCTTAGCGATGCCAATGCCTGTGCCGACGGCGCAGGGTATAGCGCTCAAAGTGGTGGGAAGGGTGGCGGCACCGGCGACGAGGGAGGAGTAGCCCTTTACGCCCAGAAAGTACTCGGGCACGTAGTAGACGATTCCGAAGAGAATGAGACCGTTGCTGAAGCTGCCGAAGAATAGGATGGCCACGCATCTGCTGTGGGCAAACATCTGGCGCGGGACAAAAGGTCGTGGCGCGAGGTACCGCTGGTGTAGAGCCACGCAGACCAGGCCGGCCGCACCCAGAAGCAGCGGCACCAGCGTTTGCCAGCTGCCCCAGGGGAACTGAAGGCCGCCCCACGTCACTGGCACCAGAAAAGCAGTAAAAGCCGCGATGAACAGGGCCGAACCAAACCAGTCCAGCTCGCGCAGCTGGTCGACCATCCTCGCCTGCTGGCCCTGCAGCCGGAGGAAGAAAACCAGCCCGACAGTACTGATGATGCAAATCGGCAAGTTCAGCCAGAAGATCCACGGCCAATTCCCCGTCACCGCACACGCTCCGCCAATAATCGGCCCAGTCACGCTCCCCAGCGCCGTGAGGGCGTTCAGCATGGCCACAAACTTCGGTCGGGCCCTGAGCGGCACCAAATCGGTGATGACCACATACGTAAGGCCAAGAATGCCACCTCCAGCAACACCCTGGACGGTTCGGCCGGCGATCAGGACAGAGTAGTTCTGCGCCCGGGCGCAGATGATGGAGCCGGCCGTTAGAAAGGCGATGCAGGCTAACAGGCTGGGCCGGCGGCCCAAGGCGTCGCTGAGGGAGCACCAGAGCGGCAGAGTGACCGTGTTGGCCAGCAGGTACGAGGTCCCGGCCCAAAAGGCCTCTATGTCGCCGCCGCCAATGTCTGCAGTGATTGTCTGTAAGTCCTTTTCTTAGTTCTCGTCATCTCGTTACTTGGAGCAGCGCAACAAGGCGGAAGCACGTACCGGCAGGGCCAGTGCGAGCGTCGCGCCGTCCAGCGCAGCCGTGAGGTCTATGATGGCCAGGCTCCAAAAGGCGAGCCAGAATTGGACCCCAAGCTGTAGCTTTGGCTCCTTGGCCGGAGCCGGAGCCACGGGCGTCGGACACTCAGGCTCAGCCATGCTTGGTCCTTTGTCCGGATAATACTTCTATCGTCGGTGTTAGGTCGTTGCGAAAGACGTAAGGATTAGATGGTTATCAGTCAAGTTTCAGATTGGCAACCTTTAGAATCTATCTGCCTGACAAAGTTGTTGACGCTAATGACCAGCCTACTTACTAATTCACAAAGAGGTGACTTATGTCTCAAGCTTCCTAATTGGCAGTCGGTTTCTGTTGTTTTTGTTAGATCTACGTCGGGTCTCGGATGACCGATCGACGAATCACAATGGATGGCTCGGGTTTCCGTCCTCATTTAAGACACAGAGGGCTTGGGTACAGTAGAGGGGTCCCTGGCGGCTACCCGAAATCACTGGCTACCCGAAGCACCCAAAACAACGCGCGCGCCCGACCCTAACAACACCACCACCACCAATCTAGCCAATTATTGCCTAATTCAGTGGTATTTAACTCTATTATGTGATGGCGAGCAGTATTCGGAGGCACGTGACAGATCACATGTTATAGTTCTGTTTACTTTGTTTATTTTACTTCATTTATTTATTTTTTTGATTTTTATATATTTCTCTATACTTTCTTCTTTCCCTCCTCATGTTTAATATCCTAGTCTAGATATATTAAATAAGATATATTTAATCAGCTTTCATATAATAATAAATGTTATTAATATTATTTTTTAATTAATATTATATATAGCCAGCTATTTAGCAAGACTACCAGTATCTTTCTAATATATGTTTAGCAATGCTCAAACAGCTAAGACAGAATAGTCTGAACTGCATTTCTAAAAATTATTTACTGATTAATTTTTAATTATAATATTTAGAGAAAGCTAAGTTAAATTAATCATATACAAAAAGAACTTATAATAATATCTAACTGTTCTATTAAACAGAAAAACTGATAACCATAAAAAGATTATCTAAAAGAAATTAGTAAGATATATAAGAAAGACTTGAAGAAGACTTTTAGTCTAGTTTTTAACCTTATAAATAAGATAGAACTAGAAATAAATATTATAATTAAAAAGTATAATATATTTATGTAAAAATAAAATAATCTAATTAAGAAGCATAATGAGACTCTCGGGAAATATAATGTATAAATAATATTTATAATATAATATTCTATCTTTAATTCTAAAATATATATCTGAAAACCTATACTGAAGTATTTATTAAAATTAATATATAAAATATATTTTAAGCTACAAATCTTGTTCCTCTAGATCTAAATAAAATATTAAAAAATATAATTATTTTGTAAAAATTAATTATTTAGATAATTAAAGCAGTACTTCTTCCTCTATATTTATAAAAATATTAATAAATTAAAAGTAATTTAAAAAAATATAAGTCTATGCTATCTTAATTACTTTAAAAATAAGATATATTAATTATATTAATATAGTCAGCTTTATGATACATCTTCAAAACTATAGAGATTGCTTTGAATTATACAGTTTTACCTTGAATATAAGAATTAATAATTATATGAAGCTCTTAAACAATAAACTGCCAAGCAGAAATATAATTAATATTGAATAAATAATTTAAATAGTCTTATAGTATAAAAAATACTTAGAGTATTTAATAAAATAAGAGCTTTACAAAGAAAAGCTGGGAATACAGATTCTAGAAAAAATTGATCTTGCTATTATACACCTTCTAGATGTAGTACTTGTTATATTATAGAATATATATACTAGATATCCTAATCAAGCAATAGCTTGAGATATTAATATTTTAAACATTGATATTAGTATTCTGTGATAGAACGGCTCCATTATCATGATTGGGATCATCAGGATGATGTATTAAGAGAGATAGTTAAGTCATGAGATCATTGATAATAACTCTATATTACTTCAGCCTGTATAAGATAGGGACCCCTTGTAATATATTACTGATTCTCTGAGAATAAGTCTATTTTATAAATATAAACTATTTTTATTATTATTCTATAAATCTATAGTATTTCAGAACTGATTTCTTATCTAATTAATAGACTTTCTATTTTAATAAGTAGATTTTATCATATTCTGATTCTTCTCTTTTCAATTATCTAAGAAAGATACTATTTATTAAAGATAATGAAAAAAAATAAATATATTTAGAATAATAACATAATAACTTAATTAGCAGTAGTAGTACTATAAAGATAATCTCTTTTGATTAAAAATAATCTATATTAGTAATCTAGTCAGGATTTCTTATACAATCCGCTCAGGGACTTTAATCTTTCATATTTATCCTGAATAGTATTATTCTATATATAAATTTATATGGTACCTTGATAGTTGCATGAATTTTTATCAAATTAAATATGTTGTATGCAGATCAGTGGCAGGGCCGTGGTAGTCGCGCGCGCGTTGTTTTGGGTGCTTCGGGTAGCCAGTGATTTCAGGTAGCCAGTGACCCCTCTAAATCACATGGTCGACTAGCTTTCCGATTTCGTCATGGACTGAAGCAGCTGATTGGGGTGACTGGCATGCAATTTGCTCCGCTTCATAGGGGCGTAATGTACTTCCCAAAATCCATGCACCAGGTGACAAACAAAGTCTCAGTCGTCATCGCGGTTGTTTCCTTTTCCGGTTTGTTTATTTTGCTTCTTTTTCCGTAACGCTCTGCTTCATCACCCACCTCACCCACCACATTGCTTTGCTCTACCGCTTCGAGAATGGATTCTCAAGCCGCAGCAACAAAAGATATACGTTGCATTAGATGCAAAATCTCGCCCTGCAGCTGAATTTGCAATTAACAAGTAAGGGAAGCAGAAGAAAACTTGCAAGCGTCATAGTCAAAAATGCCCCCTGGAATTCGATGACTGGGGCAGTTTCATTAGGTTCCCTCGAAGTTGGAATAGACTGGTAAATACTATTCTAAGGTTTCGTACGTGATAGAACTCACACGGGGCATTAGAAGGGGATTACATATGTAATTTAGACCCTCTACCAGTTAATTTCGGCTCTTTACGTGTTCTAGAGACTGTAATAGACGGCGGAAACGATATCGACCGCATAACGTTTCCTAGAATCTGTAGTGAACGGGCGATATAGGACCTAAGTATAACAATTTGGAAGGAAGGCAAATTTCGCTTCTGACACACCGGAACGAATTTCCACAGTCTGATATACTAATTCCACTACTCGCAAGATGTATTAGTAGTAAGAGTAGTAGTAAACTTTATTTACCCGACCTAGCTTGCCTCTAATAATAGCCGCTATACGGGGGTTCTGCTGGGCGTTCACGAGGTGTTTGACTTGCGAAGCTTTCAACGGACATGTGTGAAAATCATAAACGTTTGGGCACCGTCCATAGCGGAACGCCTCGGAGGATATTTGATAATTCAGTACCATTTGCTGGACTTTGAGATGATCTTGGATACGGTGCGCTGAACTGCCTTTGCATGCTGATTTCTTTTTCTCAATCTATGCCAGAGGCAAGGTCAAGTCCCCGTCCAAGGGCGGGCCTATAGTCATTAGAGCGGTCTACGCGCTCTCAAGCCTTATTCGCATTTCTATGATAAAAGCATGAAATCATCATCAAAACCCTCCCAAGGAGCTTAAAGCTTGTTCATGGCAGCGATATCTGTTGACTGGACGTAGTCTTCGAGCTCCTGGATCTCCTCCTCGAGGTCGGACAAACTGATCTTCTCGTCCTCGATGACAAGGTTGATCTGCAGCTTCTTGATCCCGAAACCAACAGGCACCAACTTGGAAGTACCCCACACCAGACCATCCTTCTCGATGCCGCGCACGGCAGCCTCAAGGGCAGCCAGATCGGTCTCGTCGTCTGGAGAGTCATTGTTAGCGAGGAAATTCAACCAAAATGCATGTCGAACCTCAACGTACCCCAGGGCTTAACGTCTAAGATGACTACAGACTTCGCGGCGACCTTAGGCTTGGCCTCCTTCTTCTTGCGGTACTCAGCCAGACGCTCCTCGCGGACGCGGGCAGCCTCAGCGTCCTCCTCCTCGTCGTCGCTGCCGAACAGGTCGACATCGTCGTCGTCCTCCTCAGCGGCCGGGTCCTTGGCAGGGTTCAGAGTAGCAGCGACGACTTCAGGACCGTAGACGGTGTAAGGCTTAGCCGCATCACCGGGAAGCGTTGCGAAGTCGTCATCGTAGCTAACGATGTGCTTGTACCAACGCGCAGCATGCGGGTGCTTGGCAACCTCAGGGGCAGTGCTCAGGGCCTTGAAGACGGCCACATTGGCCTGGGTTGGCGAGAAGCTATCGACGCGATGAGTCAGTGGGAGGCCTAATGAGGGGGGCTTCAGGCGGCAACGACAGCAAAGCAAAAAGAAAAGGGTTTAAAGTTGCAAGAAAATGCTTGTTCAGTCGTCATGTACAGGTCTTGAGGCTGCTGGGAAACACGGACCAGTTTGTATCATCATGGAATCATGCTTGGGGATAGGGGAGAAGAACAGCAAGCCGACTGGAACATACCCGACAATGTAGGAGCGAGTGGTCAACCAGCTGTTGAGAACTGCGTCCGGTTAGGCGGTGCTCGCAAATGCATCACATACCACTACATACCGGTAAGACCAGAGTCCGAGTGCAGGTCGGTGAAGCCCATTATGACGGTATTGAACTTGCAGATGGTGAGGGAGAGAGAACAGAAAGGGTTGGATATCAAGAATTTGAAAGAGAGATAAAACGTGTCAAATTAGAGGACAAACTAATTGTCACATGACCTGATTACTGGTGATTGACCTGATTACTAGTGGTACTGTATGCTGACCAACACGCGGGTGTACTGATTTTAATTTCTATACTGTACATTAACTATCCAGAGTAAAACTAATATAATACTACAATCAAGACATTAGGATGTATACTATGTGATCTAAAGAAATGAAAATTCAAGATTTTAATATTTATATTCAATTTACATAAACTTTAATTTATAAGCTCCTATATATAAATTGAATCTGAATTATAATACTCTAATAAATCTATATACCGAAGTGGTTTATGGTGTGACGGCTACCTTATACATAGGTGACTACATGATGCCATTTTATTTTTTTTTTTTTTACCTTGTATTGTTCGCTTATTCATTCAACTATAGTTCTATGTATTTCTTCTTTTCTTTCCCTATAATTAATATTCTAGTTAGGTAATATCGATGTTACTTAATTCAAACAGCTATAATATAACATTAAATATTATTATTTTTCAGTTTTCTCTTATCTTCTATATATCACTATACTACGTAGAACCCGGATATCCTAATACATAATTTACTAGCATAGACATCATATTAATTCATATACACTTTTAATTTTATTGAATTAAGTATCTCCCCTATCTAAAAGTTCATCTATGTTAATTTTCACTAGAACACGGAAAAATAACCAAGGTTATATATTGATTAGCTGGCATGCTTATAAACATCAAGACATTGATCTTATGCAAAGTTGGGTTTTCCTGGGGCCCCAATGGGTACCCAGTCTGGGTCCTGGGTCAGGTTTGGGGCTGAGTCCTGCGGAAGCCTACTTCGGTCATTACTATCTCGGATTTCCGATCGGATTCCCGAATTCAGGAATACTTCGGATTCTAGAGTTTTACGCCTCGATAGGGTTAACGAGGCTCGAGCATTTTTATCAGAACGTTGATCAGATAATATGGGGGATCTAACACCACAACGTCATCGACACAGACTAACGGAAATACCAAGTTAGAGCCTGCTCATAACCATGCCCGGGGATATACAATCCTCCGCCCTACCACCCGACCAACTCGATGCTCTCGCAGCGCAGCTCACCCAAGCAGCCACATGCCTCCGCCAAAATAGCAACTCCTCCAATGGCAACGGCACAAATAAGGAGAACCTGGGCACCGCCCCAGCTGTGGGAAACGCAGGTATCGCGACGGCGCTGCGCAACCTAATGACGCCTAAGGAACACTTCTTGGACCTGATGCTTATTCCCGCGGCCATGGGCGTCCTGCGCGTCTTCCTCCACTGGGGCGCCCTCGAACGCATCCCGCGCGACTGCATCACGCCGATCTCGTACACCAAGCTCGCCGAGCAGTTGGGGGCTGAGGTCGAGCTTGTTAGTCAGTTACGGGACTGGGGATGTGTCTGGGCTCGAGGCTGACTTATTCGTTGCAGGACGCCTCGCGTGGACACTCGTCGCGGCGGGCTTCCTCAAACAGGTTGGAACCGACCAATTAGTCAACACGCCCAACTCGGTGGTTCTGATCGACAACCCCACGATGAAGGGGATTTTGGACGTGGTTTCCCAGTGAGCCTAGCCCCCTTTCCTCTTCACCCTCTTGCTCCTCCTAAGTTTATCCACCTCCTCAGACAAGTCTCGGCGGCAATGGCCTTCCCCAAATACTTCGAGCACTACGGCCGGGTCGAACCGACCCAGCAGCGCGGCAGCCCGTGGACATTTGCGCGGGGACAGCCTGATAAGACCATCTGGGAGATCATGAAGGAGGATCCGGACGAGGTGGAAGGGTTCGCAAAGTCCATGCGTAACAGTTCAAGATTCTATCCAATGCCGGGACCATACGATTTCTCCTGGATCATTGACCATCCCATTGAGGACAAGACTCGACCACTGCTCGTCGATATCGCCGGCAGCGATGGCGAAGCTTTGCTGTCGATCTTGCGGAACACTCCCGGTTTGCTGCCCGAGCGGTGTGTGCTCCAAGATTTGCCGCACGTGCTGGATGACGTGGTCGTAACGCGACCGGAGGAGGAGATCAAGGCGTTGAAGAAGGTGCCGCTTGACTTTTCAAAGGAGGAGCCGGTGAAAGGTGAGTTCTTCGGGATATTGACGGACGTGAAACGGAGACTCAGATTCTCTCTAGGAGCCCTTGTCTACCATATCCGCCGTACCTTGCACGATTACTCCGACACCGACGCGCTCAACATACTGCGGCTGATTTCCAAGGCCATGGCGCCTGATAGCCGACTGTTGATCGTCGAGTTGATCATGAATAACCCGGCGACGCCCCTTGCGGCCGCTGTGGACTTGTTTATGTGTATCACTGCGGGAAAGGAACGCACCATTGAGATGTTTGAGCGTTTGACTGCTGATGCCGGGCTGCGTATCACGCGTGTTGTTCCTGGAAAGACCAGCGAGATGGGAGTACTAGAGTGCATGAAGTAGACCTGTCTATTGAGGGATATCATGGTATTGCTAACCACAACAACAATATTGGATGTGACAGCCAGTCAAATAATGCTTATTTGGTGCTATCTAGACTAGAACAATAAACATGAGAAGGGAAAGGAAGAAGTATAAAAAATAAATATAATAAAAACAAATATACAAAGTAAAGTAAATAAATGAAACAAAATGTTATTATATAATCTAGTTAAATATTTAATAATAGTATTTATTATTATATTATCTATTTTTATTAAGACAGGCTGTCCTCAGCTAGAGAGATATTATTATTCTTATAAATTTTAGCAGCAGCAAGCTACTGTAATAGTTATTTAAAAAGGTCCAGGACAGATACGATTTCTAGTTAAGAATAATATATAATAAACTTTATTTAAAGCAACCCACTAAACTCTATATTATACATAATTATAATATGAATACTTAGCTAAAATCTTATTAATTTCTTATTTTATCTGATTATTAATATTAATAAGGTGTTAGACATGTTGTTTCTCAGAGGTCTGTGGTGAGATGTGTTGAGAATATCTCCAGTGCTCCTGGACGTGATCAAGAACAAGGTGGTTAGAGGGGCAGGAAATGGAATATCCAGCAGGGATAATGATACGCATGTGATATATTAGGCAGCAACATGCGCTGACAGGCAAGATAGACCAGTTTCTTGTCATACTAACAAGATTTAGCAGACTATAAAAATTTCTCAGGACAGCGGGTGACCTTACTTATTCAGTTATAAATTAGAATATAAAAATCCCATTCATAATCCACACTTGCTAAGCTAGCCCCGAAGTATGTATAAAAATAAACGAGCAGTAATTATAGGAAATAAAGAAGCTGCTTAAGTAATACTTATCTGCTTATATAATAGATATACCGCCTACTTGAACAAGATAGACTTGACCTTATCAGGCATTTCCAAGTTTTCAGGATATTATTTTTGCCTAAGGCTATAAAAGTGCCTATATACAAGCGCATTCTACTATATAAAGCAGATTTGGTCACTAGAGGATCAAAGTAGGGCCGAGGTTTTACTTTCCCGTTCCTAGTAATATTAGCCCCCAGATTAGTTGATTGGGAAAATATTAATATATTTAACAGAATAGAGAGACTATACGGTTGGGTAATCCTTCTTGTAATAGTATATAAAATATCCCTATTAAACTCGGGATATTTTATAGAACTCCAGGAGACTTGATTCCTGATATATATATTTTAAATAATAATATATAATTTCTATAACTTGTTCAAGGATGATCTGCATAGCTACATAAAATGATTAATTATATAAGATATCTATATCTCATTTGTTTTATATAAATATTCAATCTATCTTATAAAACTGAAGTCCTTAAAAAATACGAAAAAGCTATAAAAATCTTGGTTTTATATATATTTAATCTATATATAGAGTAAGAATTTCTTAAATATTGTCTTTTATATGGGATCTCTATTAGCAGAAGAACTATGATTATACTTGAGAAGGAAGTAAATCCTTACCTTAGCCAAACTATAAATACTGTTCTCAGAAATTCTGTTTATTTCTTTATTATTTTATTTTTTATACTGGAAAATCAGAGTAGTAAGTAGTAAATTCTTTTCAGATAATCTGTTTTGGTTTCAGATAATATATAACCTGATTTACTTCTTTAGTATTATTCCCTCCCGAAATTAACAATACACTTACTAATGTTTCATGCGATAGAGCCCAGCTGTTATCAGAATTATAAAAAAAGATCTTATTATTATATTTTAAATAAATTATCAAAGAAATATCCACATCATATTCTTTACAGAATCTAAACACTTTTAGAAGAAGCAAGATCCTCTGTCAGTATTATTATTAGTATCTTATATAATATTATCTAATTACTGGTAGTGCAAGGTCCTTGATTTGACTATAAAAACCTGAATTAAAATTAATTATAATTTTTAAATAGTCAGTGAAATGTGTATTAGTAATCTTTGTAATTTAGTAATAATTACAGATAATAAAAGCTATGGATTATATTATTAATAAAAGCCATGGGTTTAGCTCGAAGACTATAATATTCTATTTAAATTAATAATAATAGTGAGCCACAGAGCTAATCCAAATTAACTTAATTATATATTCTAGAGAAGCGTGCATGACAGGGATATTAGAATTTATTTTATAAATATTAAATATACCTATCCCATGCATACAGCAGGGCAGTTTTATTTATTAAGAGAATTTTCTGTATCCAAGGTAGCTTAACTCTTACTGCAAGAAATCTTCCTTCTATGTAAGATAACTTACTTATTAAAATAATTTACTTCTTTATTTAATATAGTGTCTCCTGTATATCTTTATTACTAGTATCAATATATAAAATACCTTCTACTTTTTATTAATTTAAATGGCTGGTATCTCTTTATACTATATAATAAATTACTAAGACCAAGCACCCCAAATAAGCTAATATAGGAGATAAAAAAAATATAAAAAATAATATTAAATATTTTAAATTCTTAAAAATATATAATAGAGCTTTTATAATCTTGATTTCCTGATATATAATAACAAGGATATTACAGAGATTCGAAAATTTATATATAATCTAGATAAAAATATAAAATAAACAGAATTAAGAATAAATATTATTAGAAAGACTATAAGAAAACTGAATTAAATAAAATATTTATTTAAAATAATTACTTTAGTTTTTTTAATTTTTCTAATTTTAAATGGAGATATTATTCTTCTTAAACACTTAAATTTTATTTTACTGGCTTGATAAAAGATTTAATTAGTTCTTTTATAAAGTTGAATTACCAGATATTTTACTCTATGGCTAGAAACTGAATATAAATATATTCTAAACTTATCCATAAAAGTAACTAGAAAAAAATATCAATATCTATAATTATTCTGTGGTAGATCTATCTTTAAGAATATAAATAATAATAATCTAGAATATATTACAGTATTAGAAGTTTCTAGAGTGAAAATAATATAGTCTTAATTTTTTAAATATTAAAAATAAAATTAATAATACTTATTTAATTATAATAATTATATATAATTTTTATAAGAAGCTTATACGTAGAGCTCTAAATAATATTAATTAAATTAATTTAAATTAAAAAACCTGTTAATAAAAATTCTTTATTTTTAGTAAAAAAAAATAATATTCTTGATTTATATAAATACTGGAGGCCAGCTAATCTAGATCTTAATATTTTAAAATTATAGAATCTAATACTTCTCTTAGAAACTTTTATCTAATATAATCTGATTACTGGCTGCTACGGACTTGTAATATATTAAAAAAATATAAAAATAATAAAATATATATATAACTATACCCTGGAGATTTCTTATAAGTATTTTTTCAGAATAATCTAAAATAAAAATTTATAGTTTTTTATAATATTATATTATCTAGCTGTTTATATGCTGTATTTATTCCAGAGAATTATTTTTTTTAATAATAATTATTTCTATATATCTGTATAGTTTATTTTAATATTATATAGTCTTAAACTTTAAAAAGACTATTTAGATATATATAATAAGGATCTACAGTTTGAAAAAAATTATCAGGAAATTTAATATTATTAATATTTTTATATAACAGGCTAATATTTTATTATTCTTTTCATTAATAATCTAGATACCTTCCCCGTGGCCATTTTAAGTAAGATAATTAAAATAAAATCTTTATCTTATAAAATCAATAAAAACTTTCTAAAGTTCTAAAATAACTAGAATTAAAGATAAATAATATTAATTATCTTATAATAAAATATACTTTTCTTATTAAGATACTGGGATATTTGAGATAAAAAACTTTAAAATTAAAAGCTCAGTAAAAAAGCTGCACCTGTATAATAAAATTAATCTAAATTAAATAAATTCAGCAGTTAATAAGCAGTTAGTTATATATAATATTTAATAATATATATAAAAAGTCATATCTCTTTCTTTTTTTCAGGCTTATAACTTCAGCTAAGTAAATAAAGAATCTAAGAATAATATAAAAATTATCTAATCAGCTAGATTACTAGTGAATTTTATATTTGTAACAGATATTAATACTTATTTTAATCTATTAAGAATATCAGTTATGTTCAGTATTCATAGCTGTAATTTAATTAGATATATTCTTAGAAATTCCACAATACTAGAATTATATTAATATTAATAGTTTAACAGATATAAAATTAGAAAAGATTTTTTTAAATATTCTAATCTAGACCAGTATTAGATATTATTAATAGTAAATAGAATTTAATAAAATATATTTATTTTTTAATAATTATATTTTTATTTTTATCTTTTAATTTTCTTATTTAAAAGCCTGAGTATATATACTCTCTAGTAAATAAATCAAGCTAGTTTCTAGTAATAGAAAAGTAGAAAAATAAATAAAAATAAGAATATTAAGATTTCTAAATAATAAAAGTATATTAAAAATAGAATTATATATATTTTATTAAGAATATTTTCAAGTTTTTAAATAATTATTTAATTTTTTAGATCTAGCTACTACTTCTTTATATTATAATAATATAAATTAAAAATATAGAATAATTAATATTAAAATATTAAGATTTTTTAAATTAAATTAATTATAATATATATTTTTTTAAATTATAATCTTTTATATGGCTTTATTATAAGTCCTTGGTATTAAAAAATATTAATATTATAATATTTTATTTTAAAATTTTTATGTGCTGCTCACCTCCATACTGAAAGTATTAAATATTAAGATATTATTAATGTAAAGTTTTATTTTATAAAGATCCTAAGGTATGGCACAGAACTAATGAATATATTATATTAAGATTATATAAAAGAAAGTTTTTTATTAAACTATTATAATACAAGAAATATAAATTGTGGAATTTAAATATAAAATAATATATTTTATTATTAAGTTAAATAAGTTTTAAATACTCCATATTAAAGACTAAGAATTGATTAGTAAATTATATAAATAAAACTAGTAATTTAA